TACCTACTAGCCTCATCCCGCCCCCTTGACCTGTCCATCCTCCCTGGACTGACCTATCCCCTCCCTAACTCCCCACCTACACTCACCTTTACTGGCTCCATCCCCACCTCTTTGACCTGTTTGTTTCCCCTCCACCTATCCTCTCCTCTATCCATCTTCTATCCACCTCCCACTCTCTCCCTATTTATTTCAGAACCCCCTTCCCCTCCCCCATTTCTGATGAAGGGTCTAGGCCTGAAACGTCAGCCTTTCTGCTCCTATGATGCTGCTTGGCCTGCTGTGTTCATCCAGCTCTGCAGCTTGTTGTGACGTATGGTTTAGTGGTTAGCACTGCTGCCTTCTAGTACCAGGGATCCAGGTTCGATTCCACCCTCAGGTGACTGTCTGTGTGGCGTTTGCACATTCTCCCCGAATCTGTGTGAGTTTACTCTGGGTGGTCTGGTTTCCTCCTACGGTCCAAAGATGTGTGGGTTAGGTGGATTGGCTACGCTATAGTGTCACAGGGATATGTAGGTGAGGTGGATTAGCCATGAGGAATGCAGGGATAGGGTGGGATGCTTTCTGGAGGGGTGGTGTAAATTTGAAGGGCCAAACAGTCTACTTCCACGCTGTTGGGATTCTAAGGCAGAGAACAGGATTGTAGTGAGCTAAGGTGTGGGAAAGTGATTCACAGCTTGTAATTCAGAAGATTGGGTGAGGAGGAAATGAAGTTTGACAAAAAAGGATGATGTTAGAATGTGCTAGGTCTTCAAAAATTTCAGCCATATAAATGGGCACATCTCAGTCTCAGTATTTATTAGAGCATGCAACTGTGCCCTCTGTACCTTTCTGGCTATTTCCTGCCATCTCTGTTATTACATTCTGTAGGAGGAAAGTTGTCAGTGAATGTAATAAGAGATAGTAGGAACTGCAGATGCTGGAGAATCCGAGACAACAAGGTGCAGGGCTGGATGAACACAGCAGGCCAAGCAGCATCATAGGAGCAGAGAGGCTGACGTTTCGGGCCTCGACCCTTCATCAGAAAAGGGGGAGGGGAAGGGGGTTTTGAAATAAAT